TACCATACCCTACCCTATTCTACCCTGCCACACCACATCATACCCTATTCTACCCTGCCCTACCACACCACATCATACCCTATTCTACCCTGCCCTACCACACCACATCCTACCCTATTCTACCCTACCCTACCCTACCACACCACACAATACCCTGCTCTACCCTACCCTACCCTACCACACCCTACAACACCATATCTTATTCTACCCTATTCTACTCTACCCTACCCTGCTCTTCCACACCACATCATACTCTATTCTACCCTACCACACCAAACCACACCATACCAAATTCTACCCTACCCTACCCTATCACACCACACAACGCCATATCTTATTCTACCTTATTGTACCCTACCCTACCCTACCCTACCACAACTCACCATACCAAATTCTACCCTACCCTACCCTACCACACCACACAACTCCATACCGTATTCTACTCTACCCTACCCTACCACACCACACCATACCATACCATACCATACCATATTCTACCCTATTCTACTCTACTCTACCCTACCCTACCACACCACACCACACCACACCACACCACACCATACCATACCATATCATATTCTACCCTAGCCTACTATACCACACAACGCCATACCTTATTCTACTCTACCCTACCCTACCACACCCTACAACACCATATCTTATTCTACCCTATTCTACTCTACTCTACCCTACCCTACCCTTCCACACCACATCATACCCTATTCTACCCTACCACACCACACCATACCAATTCTACCCTACCCTACTGTACCACACCACACAACGCCATATCTTATTTTACCTTATTGTACCCTACCCTACCCTACCCTACCCTACCCTACCACACCACACAACGCCATATCTTATTCTACCTTATTGTACCCTACCCTACCCTACCACACCACACCACACAACACCACACCACACCATGTCTTATTCTACCTTATTGTACTCTACTCTAACCTATCCTACCACACCACACCATACCATATTCTACCCTACCCTACCCTTCCCTAATACACCACACAATGCCATACCTTATTCTACTCTACCCTACCCTACCACACCACACCACACCATACCTTATTCAACTCTACCCAACCCTACCCCACCCTACCCTACCACATCATACCTTATTCTACCCTATTCTACTCTACCCTACCACACCACACCGTACCCTATTCTACGCTACCCTACCCTACCACACCACACCATACCATATTCTACCCTACCCTACCCTACTACACCACACAATGCCATACCTTATTCTACTCTACCCTACCCTACCCTACCACACCACACCATACCTTATTCAACTCTACCCAACCCTACCCCACCCTACCCTACCCTACCACACCCTACCACATCATACCTTATTCTACCCTATTCTACTCTACCCAACCCTACCCTACCCTACCACACCACACCGTACCCTATTCTAACCAACCCTACCCTACAACACAAGTTTTGTTTCTAAAGCACTTTTAAAAATACAGCATGACAGGTGAACAAAGTGCAGTCAAGAAGAGAGGCAAACAAAAAATGCTAGGTACAGATACAAACACTGCACCAGAAAGAGAAACTCAAGATCATACCACAACATCAATAAAAATAGAGGGGGGCATTCAACAGCATAGAAAATGCAGACTGTAATAGAAAAGACCAAACCGCCTAAAACAGAGGTGAGGAATAAATATCATATGTTTATAGAAATGATTTGTTTTTGCTGCAGTTGTGAAAATAAATAATAATATCCAGCAATCAGAACTCATAAACTTCATTCAAGTTTTTTTATAAAGCGCCAAACCACGACAAGATTCGTCTCAAGGATCTTCACATAATAAACATTCCAAAACAGGTCAGATCATTAAGCCAATCAGAAAAAGTTTCCTATATAAGGAACCCAGCGAACTGCATCAAGTAATCCTTAGCAATCCTCATACTAAGCAAGCATTTGGCAAAAGTGGAGAGGAAAACTATCTTTTAACAGGAAGAAACCTCCAGAGGATCCTGGCTCATTATAAGCAGCCATCCACCACGACTCACTGGGGATCGAGAAGACAGAGCAGACACACGCATACACCAACATCAGGTCAGGTGACTGAAACCGTGTGTGATTTCCTGTCTAACCCTATGATAATTGCAGAAATTGATGCATCCCAGAAGTGGAACATGGAAAAAAAGAGCCCGATCCTAACTTTAGCAGAGCGGCGTGCCGCTTCTGGGCCGCGCCTGGAAATTACAGCATTGCTGCTGGTTTGAAACACTCCATAGACTATAATGGATTCTATTTGAAGCGGTTACATTCTGCTGCAGCTCCGTGCCAGTGATGCTTCAGTGTGAAACGGGGTAAGAAGGCGCTCTACAAATACAGGCCATTTACAAATGTAGGATAAACATCCACACAGATGGAGACTGAGTTCACTCAGGACAACAGGATACCTCCGTCAACTCTCTCACCCTTCTTTTGACGACATCACCCCCACTAGCCTTGTTCTCATTCCTCCCCTCTGTTTCTTTTTCCAAATTTGATTCCCTACAACCCCCACCGGCTACAACCCCTGGCTTCTCCACTGTCCCAGTGTTTGTGTTCGTGAGGGAGACTGATGCTTCAGATAGCAGCTCATGCCCCCATATTTTAACACCAGACAGTTTAATGGGGCCCAAACCACATAAACATGGGCAGAGTGAAAGTTACTTCACGGGCAAACAAAACTATTTAATGATGTGCTGTTGACATGGAACATATTAAAGAGTAAATCAGCAGCAAAAAGCTCAGGGCAGAAGTCTGCTGCTGTTGTATCTGATCATGCCATGATGTAGCATCACCGCCCTCAGAAATGGAGGACCAGATGTGAAAGAGACAGTTTGAAGAAGGAGAAATGGGCCATTTGTGCAACAGAGGGACAGACTGACCTTTTTCTGCCTCAGCTGGGCCGTGCTAACGTGCACACAAGCACGCCAGAGCACAAAGACAAGAATGGTCACAAATTAGATAATTTTGGGAGTGGTCACAGGGAAAAACCAGATGGAAGAAAACAAAGCAAGAAAGTAACTTTTGAAACTGCAGAATAAAGCACAAAACTTTAGTAATTGTTTGTTGTATGTTGACTGAATGCATTAACCCTTTATAGGGCCAGCATCTATATTTAGACACTTCCACTCACATCCTAAATGATGTCGGTGTGTCTTTTCACAGACTCATGGAATCATGGGATTTCACCCAACCAATCATCAGAAATTAAGCTAGTTTGCGTCATGGCGCTGTTTGACCACTCAGTGTGGGGCTATGATGCACCAAATGTTGGTGTGTCTGCAGAACCAGAAAACAGCTCGGGCTCCTCTCGTGTTCACGGTCACAGTGACAGTGTGTAGTATCCCTGGCCATAGAGGGCAGTACATCCCTAAATGATTGCAAGCAAGCATTACTTTTGTGTTCAAGTAAGACCTTACCAATGGATGGCCATTAGGGTCAAAAACCCCTGGGAACACAACCTTCGGCAAAATAACAAGAACATCAGATTCTCTTTCATCACTGGTAACAAGTGAAGAGGTAAATGTGTAAAACAACAATGATTATTTACGGTGAAAGTTTTGTGAGCATTTGTCACAAATCAGTCAATGCATTTTGTCCTCACGGGCTTCCATAGAAGGGAACAGCATTCAATATGGCGTCGCCCAGAGACTTAGACCCGCCCCCTTGTATTTTAGAACAGATTTTTATGGTTATGAAACCGCCAATATTTTTCATCAACTGGGAATCTTTTAATTAATTTACAACAACTTTTCATGGATATTTCCAGCGGTTAATGGTAAAAACTACACATTGTCACTTTAAGGTTGCTAAACAAGGATATATGTGTTGTAAATGTTAAACTCAATGAAGTTGGTAAAATCACTGCATGAAAATCAAAGTTGCTATATTTGAATATATTAAATAAATTATGTTTATATTTAGATAAAATCTATTGTTTTAACATAATATTCATAATTATGTTAACAGTGATAATAATGACCACAATATAATTTTTCTGTTTTAAACTAAGATTTCTATGAAGAACAGAGGCGAACAATTATTGTGCCAGCCAGCCTTGACCTCAGTGATGATGAAGAGGAAGAGGAAAATGACAGACGCAGATTCTCAAATATTCTAATATTCTAAATTTAATCAGAAATTTTATCGATTGTTGAATAACTTTCAAACATGTTCTACAGTAATCTATTTTTTATAGAAATATGCTACATTGTTTAATAATTGTGATATGTTCTGTATAATGTTCTACAATTAGCTAGATTATTCTAAAGTGTCTTATAACTATCTATATTATTCAAATATACTGTTTATTTAATCTGTTCAAGTGTTTTATTTTGGGATTTCTTTTACCAGAACAGCCCTAGCGTCCATATTTGTAACAACAGAAGAATACTTTAGTTATATACCACAATAACACCCTGGGGTTGACATTTTCATTTTAAACTACTTCAATGTGCCCTATAAAGGGTTAAAGATGTGAAAATCTCAGAATCTTACAGAATGTTTCCTGTAAATCATTCTCAGATATTCTGAATGAAACACCCAAATGGAGCTTTTGTGGATTTGTTAAAAGCCTGAGCTTTTAAATATGTAGAATTCTGCTTTTTATTCATTTTATTTTATCTTTCACCACCATGGAGGGTTTTTCAGTAGAAACGCCTTGTTTAAGGTCAAAGGTCAGATGTTCTCCTTCAGGATGTTCTGTTAGAGAGCAGTCATTGTTCCATCAGTTACAGCTTGTGATCCAGGTTCTGAGGCAACAGAGCATCCCCAGACCATCACACTACCACCACCATGTCTGACTGTTGCTATGGTGATGAATTAGGGTTAGGCATGAGGACATGAAGATACAAATGTGTTTATTATGGGATCCCAGTTTCTTTATAAGCTCTAAAATGAAAGTGTCAGGCATGTGACCTGAAATCTTAGGCTAGTTTAACATTTACCGCCATTACTCACGACTTACGTGGGAAGTTGAACATGAAGCAGGCCTGAGCAGCTATTAACCACTCTGCTCGTGTCTCACAGAAGATGGCGATGTTGGTTTTGGGCCGTTGACCCAGTGAAGTCAGACCGCAGCCCAGCTTAGTTGCTGCCGTGATGGTTTCCTTATAAGAGAGCCAGCGGTACTCACCCAGAATCACCTGTAAGAAGAGGGAGGAGCTGCAGATCATCTGAGCCCAACTAAATCTGTTGTTGCATCGGGAAGAACATTTCAATAATGATATTTCTGATGAATCAAACATTTGTCTGTGACCAGAGCTTGCAGCATTTATTACTGCAACCAAAACCCATTTTCTACTTTTTTCTCTGATGTTTTGTGCCGGATGATAATGCGACTCTCTGCACACTTGTGTCTGGTATGATGTGAAGCTGCCCTAAATCCAAAATATGATGGTAATAAATATGAAATACAGTTTGACTTTTCATTTTTCATGAGCTTTTATTTTACGAAAGAAAGTAGCTTATTTCCTCTAACAGAAACCTTTTCTCGGATAAACTAAAAATTAACTAAAAAAACATTTGAAATAGTTTAGATTCAGTAGTTTTACAAGTGAAACTGGAAAAATGAGAACGTGGTTCGTTATGGTCCATAAAAGTCCATTTATGTCTGTAGACTGAGAGACCATGTAAAGGTTTAGGAAGCCCTTGCAGGTGTTTCTAGATTCATTAACTGATTAGAGTTTGACACTTTGAGTCTAGAATATTGAATCTTTTCACAATATTTTAATTGTCGTAGATTCCGAATTTGGGGTTTTCAGCAGCTGTAAGCCGTACTCGTCTTCGTCTTCGTCTTCGTCTTCGTCTTCCTCCGCTTATCCGGGTCCGGGTCGCGGGGGCAGCATCCCAACTAGGGAGCTCCAGGCCGTCCTCTCCCCGGCCTTGTCCACCAGCTCCTCCGGCAGGACCCCAAGGCGTTCCCGGACCAGATTGGAGATGTAACCTCTCCAACGTGTCCTGGGTCGACCCGGGGGCCTCCTGCCGGCAGGACATGCCCGAAACACCTCCCCGGGGAGGCGTCCAGGAGGCATCCTGACCAGATGCCCAAACCACCTCAACTGGCTCCTTTCGATCCGGAGGAGCAGCGGTTCTACTCCGAGTCCCTCCCGAATGTCCGAGCTCCTCACCCTATCTCTAAGGCTGAGCCCGGCCACCCTACGGAGGAAACTCATTTCGGCCGCTTGTATCCGCGATCTCGTTCTTTCGGTCATTACCCAAAGCTCATGACCATAGGTGAGGATCGGGATGTAGATCGACCGGTAAATCGAGAGCCTGGCTTTCTGGCTCAGCTCCCTCTTCCCCACGACAGATCGGCTCAGCGTCCGCATCACTGCAGACGCTGAACCAATCCGCCTGTTGATCTTCTGATCCCTCCTACCCTCACTCGTGAACAAGACCCCGAGATACTTAAACTCCTCCACTTGAGGTAGGACCTCTCCCCCGACCCGGAGGTGGCAAGCCACCCTTTTCCGGTCGAGAACCATGGTCTCAGATTTGGAGGTGCTGATCCTCATCCCAGCCGCTTCACATTCGGCCACGAACCTACCCAGCAAGAGCTGAAGGTCAGAGCTGGATGAAGCTAGGAGGACCACATCATCCGCAAAAAGCAGAGACGAGATTCTCCTGCCACCAAACTCGACACACTCCACACCACGGCTGCGTCTAGAAATTCTGTCCATAAAAGTGATGAACAGAACCGGTGACAAAGGGCAGCCCTGGCGGAGTCCAACCCTCACTGGGAACAGGTCCGACTTACTACCGGCTATGCGGACCAAACTCACGCTCCTCTGGTAAAGGGACTGAATGGCCCTTACCAGAAAGCCACCCACCCCATACTCCTGGAGCGTCCCCCACAGGGTGCCCCTGGGGACACGGTCATAGGCCTTCTCCAAATCCACAAAGCACATGTGGATTGGTTGGGCAAACTCCCATGCCCCCTCCATCACCCTTGCAAGGGTATAGAGCTGGTCCACAGTTCCACGGCCAGGACGAAAACCACATTGCTCCTCCTCTATCTGAGATTCAACTATCGATCGGACCCTCCTCTCCAGTACCTTGGAGTAGACCTTTCCAGGGAGGCTGAGGAGTGTGATCCCCCTATAGTTGGAACACACCCTCAGGTCACCCTTCTTAAAGATGGGGACCACCACCCCGGTCTGCCACTCCCTAGGAACTGCCCCCGATGACCACGCAATGTTGTAGAGACGTGTCAACCATGACAGCCCTACAACATCCATAGCCTTGAGATACCCAGGACGAACCTCATCCGCCCCCGGGGCTCCGCCGCTGTGTAGTTGTTTGACTACCTCAGCAACTTCTGCCCCCGAGATCGGACAGTCCATCCCCAGGCCTCCCAGCTCTGGTTCCTCCTCGGAATGCGCATTGGTGGGATTGAGGAGCTCCTCAAAGTATTCCTTCCACCGTCCGACTATAGCCTCAGTTGACGTCAGCAGCTCCCCATCCCCACTGTAAACAGTGTGAGCGAGTTGCTGCCTTCCTCTCCTGAGGCGCCGGACAGTTTGCCAGAACCTCTTTGGAGCCGATCGATAGTCTTTCTCCATGGCCTCACCAAACTCCTCCCACGCCCGAGATTTTGCCTCGGCAACTGCCACTGCTGCACCCCGCTTGGCTATCCGGTACCTGTCTGCTGCCTCCGGAGACCCACAGACCAGCCACGCCCTGTAGGCCTCCTTCTTCAGCCTGACGGCTCCCCGAACCTCTGGTGTCCACCAGCGGGTACGGGGGTTGCCACCACGACTGGCACCGGCCACCTTACGACCACAGCTAGCAACAGCCGCCTCGACAATCGCAGAGTGGAACAAGGCCCACTCGGACTCAATGTCCCCCACTGCTCTCGGGACGTGGTCAAAGCTCTGCCGGAGGTGGGAGTTGAAGACCGTCTTGACAGGTTCTTCTGCCAGGCGTTCCCAGCAGACCCTCACTATGCGTTTGGGTCTGCCAGGTCTACGCGGCATGTTCCCTTGCCATCTGATCCAACTCACCACCAGGTGGTGATCAGTTGACAGCTCCGCCCCTCTCTTCACTCGGGTGTCCAAAACATACGGCCGCAGGTCAGATGATACGACTACAAAATCTATCATCGACCTGTGACCTAGGCTGCCCTGGTACCAAGTGTACCGGTGGGCATCCTTATGTTCGTAAGCCGTACTCATCAAAGTTATAACAAATAAAGGCTGAAACATTTGGCTTTGTATGGGATGAGTCTCATAGATCCGGTTCTCTTATTAAGTTGAATAAAAAATCTAATTAAGACAAATTTCCCTCTATTTCAAATGTGAAAGACGTTTTCACACATTTTATTCTATCAGCTCCACTTTCATGAATCTGCTCAGATTTTACTTCCTGTTGGAAACATGGAGTTTTATCTGATCTGGCTTATCTTCTCTTTGTGTTATTGTTTTACAATGTGGATTAAGTGGAACGTTTATAAAAAAAACTAAATTACCCACAACGCCTTGGGGTAACCTTGTTTAAACTGTTCTAGGGGATATATTTATCACAGATGCTCAGGACAGTTTGTCTCATCTCACATTCAGAAGTCAGGGAGACACTACCAGAACAATTGCCCTCCTGCCTTTCTCACGTCGTCATCATCATCATCATCATCTGAATGAGAAGAAGAACCCAGACCCAGAGGCTAATTACTCAAACACCCCCCCCCCCCCCCCCCCCCCCCACTGTGAAACGCAGCAACCTCCTGCAGAGTTTTAGTGAAGTTAGACTGACCCCCAGTGGTGTACCAATGCCATAGCAGCCCGTCAACCTGAGAACACATTGACTAATTAGTAAACAGGTTCTGTTTTCTACCTGCTGTAACAACCAGGGTCTAAACTAAGCTGTGTAATCTCGTAACAGTGAGTGTTTTAGCTGTGAGGTTTAAATGGATTAGCAGTATCAGGCTGGTGGGATTAGTGTGGTAATTCAGAGAGAATGACGACGGTATGTCAAAGCTGGCAAAACATCTAGAGGTGTGTGTGTGTGTGTGTGTGTGTGTGTGTGTGTGTGTGTGTGTGTGTGTGTGTGTGTGTGTGTGTGTGTGTGTATGTGTGTGTGTGTGTGTGTGTGTGTGTGTGTGTGTGTGTGTGTGTGTGTGTGTGTGTGTGTGTACTCCATAACACACAAAGCACTGCTTGTTCTACAGGAACTCTTTAGATAAACAACACATAGAAGACTAAACAGAACGTGGGGCTTTACTGGGATCGTAGCTTAAATTAGCCTTCAGACGCACAAATGAACTGCTTCAGAGTTGTTTTATGTAAATTGATTTAATCCTGCAAATCAGCTTCTCCTAATGCACCTTTTATGTTTATACTGTTGCTCTTTGTCCCTGGCAGCTTGTCCGCTGTTCCTTTAATTGGGGCCTGTTTTCATTCTTCTGACAGCGTCTTCTAATTTACTCCATGTTCATCTTTGTGTTTGTGCCTCCTCTCACCAAGAAAACAGTTATCTGAGAGGAACTTTTCACTCTTTCCTTTATCGTTGGCAAAATAATGATCGAGTCTCAATCCTTACCTTTGAATGGTGCGTGCTACCATTTTACCTGACTCAGTCTTAGTGTTTCATTCAGAAATGATCTGACGAACCACTAGATGGATTTTTTAAATCAATCGATTAGCTTTTGGAGTCCAGCGAATTAAAGATGGCCACCACAGCCAAACGACCACACACAGATAAATGGTTGTAGCTTGGTCAGATTTACAGGTATTGAGCTAAAATCTGGCATGGCGGTAGCTGAGCGTCCTTCACTACCCACTGTGTAAGCTTTAGCTGCGCCATCAGCTAACCCTATTTGTCTCTGCTTTTATCAAAATATCTCACAGACTGCTTCATGATTACTTCATCTGAATCATTAGTTGATGGTAGCTGAGAGTGGAGGGCATAACATGAGCTGGTTGGTAATGGACCACACAGCAACAAGGTTTCATCAAATACATCAACACTGAAGGACATGGTAGAGATTCCATTAAGGAATATGCCAGCATGTGTTCTCACCTTCCTGAACACCTTCCCATTACTCTGACGCTCGTCTTCCTCACTGATCACCTCCCTTGTACCCAGACAGTCCCTGTGGGGGAACCTTAGGGTGGCGTGCTCGAGCATCTTATCGAGGGTGTCCACTCCCGGGTGGAGTGAAGTAATAAGCCTCTTGGTGGTGCTGGTGGCTCTGTAGGGTCCCTCTGGACATCCCAGGACTGAGAAAGCCTTGGCTCTCTTGGCTCGCTCCTGCTCTGAGCCGTAAAAGTCCCTGTGTGATGTGGTGACCCAGCTGAGGAGACAGGAGGGCAGGAAGGTAACTGCGGTATAGATCCACACCATCAGGTAGAAAAGGAGCACCAGTACGGGGTTCGGGTTCTCTTTCAGCTTCATTCTGCTGTAGGGGTGTTGTGCAGCGATGAGGTATGGAAGAAGATGGTGGAGCTCTTGCTGCTTTGAAGGGACTGAAGTCCTCTGGAACAATATCCACTTCCTACAAAAGGAAGAAAGCTAACATTTGAGAAAACAATAACTTCTGGGTTCAAACTTGTGATTAAAACAGTCTGAGGGATATCCTGGTAAATCCATTCAGAATCAGCCCTGCACAGCTGCAACAGACAGCTGCAGAGGAACCTTTCTGGTGATGAAAACAGGTTTATTACGTCAGCATGACCCCCCACCCCCAGATATGTTCTCTATCAGAGGCTCCAGTCAGTCACCCTATGCTTCTGTTGTTGTCAAAAACTTTCTCTCCATCTCGGAACCACTTACAAACACATTCTTATTAGAAATGCACGAAAAGATACGATTGGGTTTCCACTGGGAATGTGTTAGACAAAAGACATGGGCCCTTTGTGTCCAGTGGCCAGAGGTGAAAAGAGTACTAAAATTTCCTACTTAAGTATGAGTACCAATACTTTGATGATATTTTTTACTCAAGTACAAGTAAAAGTACTTGCCTAATATTTGACTCAAGTAAATGTAAAAAGCATCATAAATAAAATGTACTCAAAGTAAAAGTTACCTATTTTTGTCAGTGTATGGCTACATCTAAGTGTCATGGTCTGCGTCTGCCCCTTCCTTCATGTGCCTCCTGGTGTTTCTCCATCCTCTCTAGGTGCTCCTTTTGTGTCCTAGCGCCCTCATGTGTCATGTCTGCGTCTTCCTCATGTGTCTTCTGGTTTTCCCCATTCGCCCCTAGATCTCCAGCCCTCTAGGTTTCTCAGGTCATTTCCTTTAGTTACAGCCTTTCATGATTTAGTGTGTTGTTTCCCCATCGGTGTTTGTTATTTTTCACCCACCTCCCTTTGAATTGTAGTTATGTTTCCTGCTCTTTTGTATTAGGTTTTATTCTTAGGTCAAGTTAGTTTCTCCCCTGATTAGTCATTGCCTTCACCTGGTCCTCCTCCCACACCCCACACACCTGCAGCTCATCTCCCTCTCGGCCTCCCTGTGTATTTAAGCCCTGTCTTGTCTCAGTGTCTGGTTGGTCCAATGTGTTTGTAATTCTGTCAGTCTCGTCTTGGATTACTAGTGTTCTTGGTCTTCTCGTGTCTCGAGTGTTTTTTGGATATCCAGATCGTTATCTGGACTTTTGGATTTTGGCTTCCAGCCTTTTGACTTTTTTGTTCTCCTTAAAATAAAGGATTTTTCCATAGACGGTACATACCTCTCTGCCTCGTGTCCTCCTGGGTATCTGCATATTTGGGTCCTAAACATCCTCGAAACGTGACACTAAGTAGTGCAAAATCACAAATCCAGCACGCGCGCGCACACACACACACACACACACACACACACACACGGGACTGTCTCAGCTGTTATTTTCGTTAAGGAGTGTGCACGTACAGCATGCGCACCTCGTGCACGAGCCTCCTATTGAAGCTGCCTACGCTTTTGGCCTGAGGGGCAATCGCAGCATAAAAATTCAAAACTCCGTAAAGTCCCCATTAAAACCACACCTTGGGACTGTTTCAATAACGTTTTATTTTGTAGTGTACAAACAGAAGCCCTGGCCGGATGAAAGAACAAATCCAATCAACTTCAGGGGCACAACTAGACTTTTCCTCTGGCTATTCTACAAAAAAAAAGACTATTTTGACTTTTTATTGTTGAATTATTTGAACTCTTAATTTTCACTTAAACAAACCCTTTCTGTTGGTTTGTAATTTAACAGGTAGGCACGAACTGAGTAGACCTGCCACTTGGAAACCAACATGATACATTAGAGTATTATTCACCATAAATATAATTTTTACCTTCAGAAACTTTAAGCAAGAAGAAGCCATTTTAAACTTGGAGTGAAGATGGGCAGCAACTATGGTCAGACTCATCAGTTTTACATCTATTTCACCCTGAGTTAAACCATATCCATCAGATTATTTTTACTTGTTCCCAATTGGATAATATGTCACAACAGCAGGCAGACCCAGAGGGGGTGCACATTCCATTATATTGGTGTTATCATGCCCTTGAGGCCACCAGAGTGATAAATAGACAGCTGTTGTACTGTGAAGCAGCTTTTTGGGGTCTTCAGGCAAACTCCTTGTCAAACTGCTGTAATGGAGCACTAACGTGCTCACTCTAAAGTCAGCCAACAAACTGTTTGAACAGCAAAGAGGATAATGTGTTTTGTCTAAATAGGTTTTAGGTCCATTAGTGAATCAAGCACAAGCTGCACCAGGGGTGGACTGGGACCAGAATTTGGCCCTGGCATTTTTACGAATCGTCAGCCTCCCCATTGGGAGAGCGGTGGAGGTGTGTGTGTGTGTGTGGGTGGGGGGGGGGGGGGGGGTTGCTGCCCGCGGACTCGTCTCTAGGCTGAATGTGAGGTCTAATATGGACTGGGACTGTTAAATTACAAGCAACTTTTTCATATTTTTAAATCATCTTCTTGTACCAGTGTGCACCTGTAGTTCCTGCAGGCTGATGGCAAAAAGAATAAATTGCAACTGATAAAAAGGAAGTTAATAAAATGACACAATCCTAGATAAATGAGCAAAAAACATTTTAATGAAACCAGACAAAATATGGCAGAGGTTCATCTTTATATGACGTCATGGCTGGATTGTTGGTGGGTTTGAGCTATCCAGTAAGATCCAAAAACACTCTTATGGAATGGAGCCAAGAAGGACCTTGCAGCAGGTAAAATTCTCCTTTTTAATTCAGGTTTCGCCAGGATTCAAAGCGGTTTAGCTAAGATTAACCAGGGATTATATGAATTAGACATTTTCTCCAGAAATGTGTTTCTAAAGTCTTTATGTTGATTGGGGCCGTTTGTCCTGTTTGGGTCCAGGTGAACAGAACCAGTGGGAGACATGGAGTTCAGAGCCTCCTTTGTTTCTAATGAATGAATGTTCATGCCGATTATTTGTGTAGAGTTGAGCTTCGATACGATCACAGACCAGAACATGTGTAGCTGAAACTGGAATGGGAAGCTGAAGCTTACTCTTGTCATCCCAACTTTCCACGTAAGTATCAGGTGGACAGAGTGATGGTGGATCGTAACCTCTCAAAGAGAATATGAAGTTTTCCTATCTGCTATTTTCCAGACTGATAATTACAGCTGATAATCGGAGCTAACTAAACCAGCTTAAGAAGAAACATGTTCTAGACTTAGCTAATATAAAAGGTGAAAAAATCCAATGAATTTTAAATAAATATATAGCATAAAACAACATAAAATAACAGATAAGACACGTACTAGACATGATGTTTACATGACAGTTTGATCAGGCTAGCAGCATTTCTGTCCTACAGAACAGATCCGTAAAATCAGTGTGAGTAAATGGTAAATGGGCTGTATTTGCTATAACGCCTCCTGGAAGCCCCGAGGCGCTTTACAACACAGTCAGTCATTCACACACACCCTAGTGGTGGTGAGCTACAGTGTAGCCACAGCTGCCCTGGGGTGCACTGACAGAGGCGAGGCTGCCGTGCACAGGTCCCACCGGTCCCTCCGACCACCACCAGCAGGCAAGGCGGGTTAAGTGTCTTGCCCAAGGACACAACGGCAGTGACAGACTGAACGGGGCTCGAAACTCCAGCCTTCCAATCATGGGGCGAGCGCTTAACTCCTGTTCCACCGTCACACCGTCTTTATGTTCTGTGGGGTTCCTGCTCATGCTTACCTAGCATCCTGATCTATCTCCATTAAACTGCTTTGGAGTTTTCATGAAGTTAGTTCTTTCTTCACAAAGAGTCCAAGTGTTGTGCTTTTATTTACACACATAATAAAAACTTTTAGTTCAGGTTTTCCTTCCTTAAATGACTTCCTGTCACAAAGTTCTGTTCGTATTTACATAATATCCAACATTTGGCATTATTCTCAAAGTTTCAAATTAATGCTAAATATTAAAGTGCCACAAGCTAGCTTGTGCTGCAACTAATTAATGCAATTTAAAAATTTATTTTTTAGCAGGCTAGAGAGAACAGGCAGCGTGGAGCTTTTTGAGATTCCACCATGAAGAAAAATCCAACCTCCTGTTTGAACATCAGAACCTTCTGCTGCTCTTGACTCAATCTGAAATCTACTTTTCGCTCAGCAGCTGGTTTTCTGAAGCTTTTAGTTCTCGTTAGGTTCTTATAATGTTCACAATGTGAGAGACACACATATGTGGTTTCCATGGTGACCAATAAGCCACTGGCAGAAGCTTTAACAGTGAGTCAAACAAGATAGAACTGGAAACTTCCTAAATAATTTTTACAAAGGGACCTGCCTGCTGGCACAAGGTAGTGGTCCTGTGTTGTAGAGGCCCAAACTCACGATGACGGAGCGACGCGGTGACCACCCTAAAATCCTGTTATTGGGGTAACGTTGGAGCTATAGCCCCAAAATCATGACATACCACAGCCGAGTCAGTCGTTTTGATGTATCATTTGTGAGGGTGCATGCAGCTGCTTGAACCGCATTAATCTCCACGTATAATAATAACAATAATAATAATAGAGAGTTTGAATCATCTGCTGCACAACAATAAGGGTCCCTTATTTATTATATTACACTGGAGTTTAACACTAACAATTTAGTTATTTTCAGTTCAAACATACAATACTTAAAAAATGGAAGGACTGCGTACTCCGATAAGACCATTTATGAGCGAAACTTTACAATAACACAGAAATATGTTTGCTTTCATTGTTATAAAGCATCTTAATAATGTATTGAATGCTCTGTTGATTAGAAACACTTCAGTAGCCGTGTTTCTCAGTAGTTTAAGCTTTCTTTAACAAACATGTAAAAAGGCTCTATTTCCAGCTTTGGAAAATAAAATTAAGACATACAAACAAAAGCGGATAGAAACCGAGAGGAAATCCTCAAGATGTGAAATGTACCGATTGCAGCTGCTCAAGTCGTTGCAGCAAGCCGGAGCTTTTCAGGATTAATTGGCTAATGTGGTGGTGTGGTCTGGAGCAGTGGGCTGAGCTGGTGTGTGTGTGTGTGTGTGTGTGTGTGTGTGTGTGTGTGTGTGTGTGTGTGTGTGTGTGTGTGTGTGTGTGTGTGTGTGTGTAGGAATTGTTGCTTCCTGAAGAAGCTGAGCGTATGAAGTGTGTGCAGACGTCACCGTGCTGACACCCGCTCAGCTGAGCTGGCTGAGGTCCTGCAGAAATTTCAACACGCTCTTTGTGGAGAATATGATGCAGCAGCAGTCGGCCCCAGAGGTCAGACTGTTGTTTATGAGGAGAATAAGGGGATAAGTGTGTGTGTGTGTGTGTGTGTGTGTGTGTGTGTGTGTGTGTGTGTGTGTGTGTGTGTGTGTGTGTGTGTGTGTGTGTGTGTGTGTGTGTGTGTGTGTAGCTGCACAATTCTTCCTATTATGATGTAATCAGAAACTTGTAAAATAACTGAGGGGATTTCCTTAATTAAGGAGAATGCACTTATACCAGCTTTACCCGTGTGTGTGTGTGTGTGTGTGTGTGTGTGTGTGTGTGTGTGTGTGTGTGTGTGTGTGTGTGTGTGTGTGTGTGTGTGTGTGTGTGTGTGTACACAGTGATACATGCTTTCTCTGATGTAAGCCCTGTCTAAGCTTATGAGCTGTTTACACTGGAATGAGAAAAGGTCATGAATCATAAAACATTTACATATTTCCTTCTTGGAATATTCACAACGTCTTAGACGTGTTTTACACCATAATACAGACGTGTGATTTCTTCTGTGTCAGTGAGCTTTTTAATCACATCAGCCTTGAAAGATATGCTTCAGAATTAAGAATCTTTATTTATTTGACAACAAGTTCATTTAATTTATGTAAACGGATCATTGGAAGTTAAGAAAATTAGATTTTTGAGGACTAATTCGTTTAAAAACAATAAACTTGGTTGTTTTTATGGTTGTTTCCCCAAGGTGAGTTAAAATAAAGACTTCGAGACCTTTAAAATTACAGGTTGTGTAATTCAGATCACATGATCAGCTCAGCTGTGAGGCTCTGGTGTTCCAGCTGCAACAACACAAAGCTGACACACAACTTCCGGTTTGGAATTACAAATTAAAACACCTTTTCTGGATTTTAACTGGCTGCTGCATTTAAACTCTTGTACAATCATGCTTACCCAGAAAGCCACGGTCTGTCCTCCTTCTGGTCTCCATTTCAAAGGATATAAGTTTATGTGTGTTTCATCAACAACTATTTAATGTATAACCCTGAATCTTCTATTAACATTAAGTCACTACTGAGTCGTGCTCAACCATAAAAACGACTTACCGGTGAAGGTGGGTTGGTCTGTCCGGTGAACACCAGCGTCTCTGCCCGCTCTCTGGTTCCGTTCATCCACCGGATGATGCTGCGGCGCGCGGCGCGAGCCCGGAACCGCCACGCGCCTGCTGTTGTATAGAATAGGACGGGTCCCTGCTTCGTGATTGGACTTCCAGAGGTGGCGCGTGCTGGCGCGTGCAATGGGCAGTCTAGAGGTGATTGCTGGGGTTACTGGTGGTCACAAGGAGGCTGGAGACCGCGCGCGCCAGTTACGCACGCGCCTGAAGCTCCAGGGGCCCGAGGCTGAAAAGAGGTACAAGTAATCAGAATAATCATCATCAGTAAAACCAAAGCAAATAGGAACGAATATAAATAATCAGAACAGTGGAAATCTGAATTTCATTCAGAACATATTTTATTGGAGCTTTGTTTCATGATCTTTGGATGAGAGCTGCATCATGGAAAATACCTTAAACGTTCTGTCTGCATGAGAGAAAACAGCAGAGAAAACCGTGAAGGTGCTCCGTGGTTACTCAAGCGCGTCACTGAACCCTGCACAAACAGAAAGGGTCTGATCACGATCTGTTGCATCGGCGTTTCGAACCTGTGAGAATGAAGTTTGGAAAAGTTTCCTCTGACATGTAATATGTGAGTCGAGCATTTACAAAATGCGCAGTGTTTTCTACAATAAACATTTATAACTTATAAAATAAATATAATGGAAACCCTCAGAAACATTAGGATGAACACAGCAAACACACAAAGACTCGTGCAGCAAAAACAGCTTGAACATTCCATTTCCTTTTGGATCAATCTTCTAGTTAGGGTTCGTTTGGATAATCCTGGCTCATCCTTTGCTACCTCATTTCCTCACTCTGTCGGCTTTACTCTCTCTCTCTCTCTCTCTCTCTCTCTCTCCCCTCTCTCTCTCTTTCTCTCTCTCTCTCCATTTCTCTGTCTTTCTCTCTTTCTCGCTCTCTCTCTCTCCCCCCTCTCTCTCTCTTTCTCTCTCTCTCCATTTCTCTGTCTTTCTCTCTTTCTCGCTCTCTCTCTCTCCCTCTCTCTCTCTCTCTCTCCCTCTCTCTCTCCATTTCTCTGTCTTTCTCTCTTTCTCGCTCTCTCTCTCTCCCTCCCTCTCTTTCTCTCTTTCTCTCTCTCTCTCTCCATTTCTCTGTCTTTCTCTCTTTCTCTCTCTCTCTCTCCCTCTCTCTCTCTCTCACTCATTGATTATAATAACTGTTGTTGCTTCCATCAGCTTTATTCTATCTATCTTCCATAAAATTATTGCTGGTCTGTCCTTCAGTGTTTGTGTCCTCTCAGTTGGTCCAAGCCGGCTGTCTGTCATGAGCGTGCTACTGTAGTTTTTCTTTCATCTTTTGCCCATGGTACTGCGCTGGGAAGAATTGCATTGAAGTGATGTTTGACTTCTGTTATTCAGGACCACAGGCGTTTAATCAGTAAAATGTAATTGAAACTCAACAGGCTTGAAGCTGGACCTGGGTTGAAGTTGACTTGACGTTTTTTTATAAAGCACTTTGAAGTGGTCATCCAGGGAAGCAGATTATTTTCTTTTATCAGTTCAAATAAACAAAACCATTTAAAATCTAGTAACTTTTACCGATACATTTCTGTAAATAAAAAACAAGAACATTGGCATTTTCATTAAAACATCGCATTTTATGTTGCATGTAAAAAAAATCAAAAATTTTATTAATTTATTTTATTTTTGCCTTTTTCTTTTAAAAAATAATGGGCCTGACATTTTTCAATTTGACTCATCTCTAAAGGTTCCAAATGGCATTCCATTTCAGACCTCCAGAATAATTCATAAAGATTATTTCAGTCAGAAACAGCCTAAAATATCTGTAACTATTCATATTAGACATATTGAATATTCCTATTTGAAACATTTATATGGATCAAGCTTTAATTACAATAAAAGGGAAATTACCTGCCCTGTTGAGCGGGTCCGGTGCCTGTTGAGGATTTTCATTCAGGCACGGCTGTAGACAGCTACCGGCTGTCGGGGTCCTTCTCTCGCTGAGCTGCTGAGGATTAGCAGCTAACATGCCGACTGTCGGAGTTAAAAGAGACCTTCTCTTCAAAGCTCTTGGCAAAACTTACTGTAAGTTATACTTAATTCTTGTTTAAATGAAATGTTAATTATTCGCCTTTCGTCTCCATCTTTATTCAGATTCAAATTGAAAGAAAAAGGTAATAAAATGTGGCAAAACTTGTCGCTGACGGTTAGCATCCAAGTGCTGCTTAATGAACAATCGAGTTCAACGCTCTTTGGGTTTTATTTTTGTTAATTTTAAATTATATCATACACTAGCTGAATGCAATTTAAACCACGTGTGCGTTTTGGATAGAGGTGCCTTCATTGAGGAGTGATGTGAGAGAGCGGTATGCTAACAGCGGGAGCCAGCATGGTGGTTGCATCATTTCTGGCTGCTGTCATCCGAGCTGCAGCAGGACAGGAGCTGAAGGATGCTGAATACCTTTAACCGTTCTCTGTCTTTTGTTACAGCCGATGAAGAGTTTGACGAGTTATGTTTCGAGTTTGGGTTGGAGCTGGATGAAATTGTGAGTACTTTATTTTATTAGAATATCACAAAGTCTGTGTTTAAATTTCAGAAGAAACAAACCTTGGCTTCACAGTAACCCCCTCTGGACTAGAAATCAGAGGTATAATGATTCAAAAACTCATGTTTAAACAATGTTCCTAGTGGAAGTTTAAGTCCCAGAGTGAGTTTCTAAAGTTATTCGTAGGTTTCTGTTATAATTGTGACTTCTATTTATCCATCAGTGTGGGGGATTTTAGTCAAGATGGGATGACGGTGGCAGAGGAGCCAGTCTGATAACCGAGGTTGTTGGATTGACTCCCGCTCAGTCTGCCGTAGTCATTGTGTCCTTGAGCAATACACTTAATTAACCCACCTTGCCTGCTTGTGTTGTTCGTTGGGACCGGTGGCACCAGTGTTCAGCAGCCTCACCTCTGTCAGCGTGCTCCAGGGCAGCTGTGGCTACACTGTAGCTCATCACCATCAGTGTGTGTGCATGGGTGAATGACTGATTGTATTGTGAGTGCCTTGGGGGGTTGTAGAACCCTAGAAGGCGCTATACAAATGCAGGCCATCATGAAAGGAGAAATGTATCATCAGATATTTTTATGCGTCGTTCATTGCTAACCTATGTCTATGGTGCTAACTGAAGAGTGTTTTATTAGGAGAATCCTCATTTTTTTATCTTAAAAATGAGCACAAACTCTGCTGAGCCAGTAAAAACATACCAGGATAGAAAAACACTCCTAACTTATGGATTAGTTTCCCCAGAGTTGAAACATTTACAACGTGAGAGCAGTGTGGGGTTTGCTTTCGACTGAAAACCTGGCAGCTAGGAAACTCTTGGCTTTCCTCTGTTGGCTAATCTATGATTCTGTCTAATCCCACTGCTCTGTCCACATTATAGACCTCAGAGAAGGAGATAATCAGCAGAGAGCAGGGAAACTCTAAAGCATCCAGTGCTTCTGATGTCATTCTGTACAAGATCGACGTACCTGCTAACCGCTACGACCTGCTGTGTCTGGAGGGACTGGCTCGTGGACTGCAGGTCTTCAAGAATAAGTGAGTCATGTCCTGCACATTACCACCCTTCATCACTAATGACATTGTGTTTCTAAGCTGGATTTGGTATTTGTTAAAAGCAGCAATCCTGTAGATTTTAATGCTTGACATGCTCAATAGTTATCAGAGTTTTAATGTATATTTTAGACTCGACGCTCCTCGCTATAGACGTGTGAGCCCAGTCAGTGGGGACCGTCAGAGGTTGATCATCACTAAAGAGGTGTGTCTAAACAAGTTTCTTTGCAGCAGTTGGTCTGAGAGTTCTGTTTTTTGTGAGAATGAAATGTGTTTTCCTGAAGGAAGTTGTTGTTATGGTTGTATTCGTTGTGCAGACTGCAGCAGTGCGACCACATGCTGTAGCAGCAGTGCTGAGGAACATCACTTTCACTCAGGAGCGCTACGACAGCTTCATCGAGCTGCAGGAGAAACTGCATCAGAACATCTGCAGGTTGGTGTGGAATGGTAAATGGCCTGTATTTGATATAGCACCTTCTAGAGTCCTGGAACCCCCCAAGGCGCTTTACAACACAATCAGTCATTCACCCATTCACACACATATTCATACACTGGTGGGGATGAGCTATGATGTAGCCACAGCTGCCCTGGGGCGCACCGACGGAGGCGCGGCTGCCCTGGCACCACCGGTCCCTCCGACCACCACCAGCAGGCAAGGTGGGTTAAGTGTTTTGCCCAAGGACACAACGACAGCGACAGACTGAGCGGGGCTCGAACCTGCAACCTTCCGATTACGGGGCGAGCACTTAACTCCTGTGCCACCGTCGCCCACAAGGAAGAAACATGAGTATGGCTTGAAGGCTAGGGTGTCACTGTTGACAGTGGCTGCTAGAGATGGGAAAGGATGAAACGGTAAAGAATACAAACAATGCTTGAGAAATGCTATTTTTAGCACTGGCACTCCTTCACGTTTCAGTTAGAAACGTTATTACACTCGGGATTAAAGTTCGTAAATCCTCACATTATAGACAATCTGCTGATTTTACTGTAAAGGTGAGTAAAAGGAGTCAAGTGAAGGAAAAACTTATTTTATTGTTGAAACTATTCATTGAGCGTGTTCAATAACATGATAACAACAGAAAGCATCGAGTGCTTTATGGTTTGCAACTGCTCAGTGACCCTGTTTCACAGGGACAGTTGTTACTGTTGCACAACATTCTGAGGCTCAGATTTTGTGTAAAGAAGTAAGAAAGAAAACCAGAGAAAGACCTAAACCTTGGACTTCATCAAACATTAACTCCACAGTAAAACTCGGCTAGTTCACCACAATAAGGCAACGTCACTTTGTACAGACAACTGATGTTTAGGGTTGGGCATCGTTTGATTTTGAACGACTCCGATTCCAATTCCTTGTTTCGATTCTGGTTCCTATCGATTCCCGATTCCGATTCTTTCAAGCCATGACATGTTTTACATGAGCCAGCTAACCACAGGTCCTACTGGATGAAATAATCTTAACTTCAACATGAATTTTAATTCTATGAACAATGACATCACCTTCATTTAGACAAAAAAGAAAGACTTGCAGCACAACCAGTGTGTTTGTTCCTGACCACAACCAAAGTCTGGAAGAAGCCTCTGGGATGAGAGGCTAAATGTCTCCAACACATCCAGAAACTTCCAGCTGTTTTCAGCTACAACTCTCAGGATGATCATGTCCAGGATGACTGAGAACTACACCTCCATGCTGCAGCAGCGTTCAGTCAGAACAGGAAGTGAAACTTAAACGTAGCTGCTGTCATTAACAATCTAACAGATTTTAAACATTAAAGCTCTCAACAGAAATAGTTCAGAAAGGTAATTAAAGTGTTATTTATTATTATTATAATTATTTATTGTGGCAGAAGCTGGTGTGGTCCACCACAGAGAAGCTTCTCTAGCATGATGACTTTAATTACTCCTGTCCTGGCTGTGCTTCATTGGCTGCCCGTTGATGTAAGGATTCGTTTTAAAATACTCTTACTGGTTTTTAAAACGTTAAATGGTTTGGCCCCTCCTTACTTGGTGTCACTGCTTCAACCGCACACCCCCGCACGGTCGCTCCGCTCGGAGAACCTCATGCTCCTCTCGGTCCCAAGAACGCGCCCAAAGACAAGTGGTGATGGGGCCTTTGCTGTGGCAGGTCCTAAGCTTTGGAACGAGCTTCCTCTCAGCATAAGGGCCTCCACCTCTGTTGCGGTTTTTAAGGCAAGGCTAACAACCTACTTTCATGATCTGCCTTTTAACCTTTCCAACTGGGGGGGGGGGGGGGGGGGGGGGGACTCGGTGCTGCACACAGACAGCTGGTGTGATCAGCTCTGAAAAGCGTTGATCACAATTTGCGGATCACGTTTATTTTTCACGGAGATCGGCCGCGGATTCCTCTTCTGTCTGCAGTCTAGGAACTGAAATAAAAAACTTTGAACGATTCCGGGAAAAACTAACAGTTGGTCCCAGTTCCAATCGATGCTCGATGCCCAGCCCTTCGTGATGTTTCTGATTAAAAAGGTTTGTCACACAGACAAAATCAGTCTTTATACAATGAGACTAAGCTGTTGCAGCATCTTGAATGACTCCACATGAAGTAGATTAGAGATTAAAAAAAAAGATGGTCAAACTTCATCATCTTGAAACAAGAATAACTTCCTGTAACAACATGCCTCAGTGTTCCCGACTGATGGCGTCTATTTAAAGACATGTTTTTTAATTGGACTGAATTGATGCACCGGCATGTGAGTGCCATCAGATCCATCTGCTCTCATGCACACAACATTAGAACAGATGTGTGAGCACATATGGATCTTCTTTCTTTAATGGCGGAAGCCTTGAATGAAGCATTAGTTGTATGTATGCAGGAAGAGGAGCCTGGTGGCGATTGGAACCCACGACCTGGACACCATCTCTGGACCTTTCACGTTCACGGCCAAACGTCCTGGAGACATCAGCTTCAGGCCTCTTAACCAGACCAAAGAGTACACGGCCACCCAGCTCATGAGCCTGTACAAGGTGAGTAGCTGGCTGGCTGGACGTTGGTCCAGTAAGCTGCTTGGTGAACTGAGAAGTTCTGATCCAGTGTTGTTCTTGTCCTTTAAACAGACAGACAGTCACCTGAAACATTATCTTCCAATTATTGAAGACAAGCCTGTGTATCCCATCATCTACGACAGCAACGGCGTAGTCCTGTCGATGCCTCCTATCATCAATGGTGGGTATTAAGGATGTCCTGATCAGGTATTTTTCCCTCCGAGTCATTTGATTTTCAGAATCTGCCAATACCAAGTCCCGATCTGATTTATTTGATACATATAAAAAAGAAAGTGAAGAAACAGATCCAGAATGTTCCTTTTTAAATTTAATTAACTTTATTTTAACATTTAACTACTCTGTTAACAAGCAGAGCACTTCTGTGAGATAGCTTGAAAAATCAGTAATAAATAACAAATTATTTACTTTTGGATTTTAGTGCAAATATAAAAAAAGTCTAATATAAAAACAAATAGTACCTTAAAATACCTGGCAGGGGTCTGGGACTGAGGTTTGAAGGTGATCTGAATTGTATCAAATATATAAATATCACATGCTGATAAATAGGGATGCACAATAAATCGGCATCAGTATCGGTATTGGTTATCGGCCACAACAGTGACATTAATATCGGATATCGGTCCAAAAATTTCATATCGTGCATCATTACTGATTAATTATTGCTTTATAAAGGTGAAAACGTGCAGTGGGACAAATCTACCTACATTTAATTTTTCAAGAACATCGTTTAGTTTTCTTGGTTTTTATTTTCCTGTCATGTCTGTCTCTGATCTTGCAGCATCTCCTCTCAGACTTCAGAAAAACTGCTGCCTGACTTCCTCTTTTTTCACCTCACGAGTTACTTTTTAACTAAGCACATTAAACGGATCTACTGACCGCAAAAACAGCGGAGTGAGCTGCGCTGCCCGGCTGCTGCTGGAACGCGTGAATGAACAGCGCTCTCCCGCTCTCTGCGTCTCCCGCTCTCTGCTCAAAAGAATTCCCGCTACGCTGAGAGTCCATATAAATAATGTAATATAGGTAGAAACAGGATCTTTGTTTGGCTCCCTCCGGGTGTGTAAGTTGAGGGCTTCAGGGGAGCCCAACAACATTTCAGGAGAACCGGGTTCCCCTTGAACCCTGTATCCGAGTCCGGATCGGGAAGTAATGCCCGATCCCGATGGAGTCTGAAACCACGTAATCGGGACAGATGGTGTGATGGGATCTGGACATCCCTAGTGAGTACACTCAGTGTTTTTTCTGCCTCTGTAACGGACGATTCAGAATGGAATCCTGAACAAAGAGGTAGCAAAACCTTTTAGGCATGGAAAAGATCTTTCCTGAAATTAAGGCAAAAGATGAACTCTTACGTGAAAAGGTTTGAATCTAAACGCCTTCTTCTTTTTCAGGGGACCATTCAAAAATCAGCTTACAGACGAAGAACGTCTTCATCGAGTGCACAGCGACTGACCTGACCAAGGTACCTCAGGAGGAATAGAAATCCGTCACCTGTGGTTGTTTTCATGGATGGATGCTTTAGTGTATCATAGACAGTCTAAAACGATAGAACAGAGTAACATACTGAGTAGAAAGTGAAGTGGAGAACTTGGTAAAATGGAAGAATGGTTCTGTGTGACATTTGTAGCTGATAGGGGAGCTGCGGTTTGGTTCACCTGATACAGATGAGCTGTTGTACAAAGATATAGAAAATGGTACAAATGACTTCCTGAAACATTTTTATTACATCAGAGCTGAATGAGTCTGTCATAAAGATAAACATTCTCCCTCTCCTGATAATAACTGTTTGCTTTCCTTGACGTTGGATGTGTTACTACTAGTTTACCCGTTTAATTATAGATCCACTAGGATAAATACAATAAAGTTTATCTCTCGCCAAATAGAATATTTACTAAGAAATCACAATATAACTATAGACACATTACTTTGTCATGTTTGTGTGTGTGTGTGTGCGTGCGTGCGTGCGTGCGTGTGTGCGTGTGTGTGTGTGTGTGTGTGTGTGTGTGTGTGTCCCTGCTCTATCTTCTCGATCCCCAGTGAGTCGTGGAGGATGGCTGCTTATACTGAGCCAGGATTCTCTGGAGGTTTCTTCCTGTTAAAAGGGAGTTTTCCTCTCCACTGTCGCTTTATGCTTGCTTAGTATGAGGATTGCTGTATAGTCACTGACACTAGTCAGTGACTTGATGCAACCTGCTGGGTTCCTTATATAGGACACATTATTTCTGATTGGCTTAATGAACTGTGAATTGGAATGTTTATTATGTGAAGTGCCTTGAGACGACTCTTGTCGTGACTTGGCGCTATATAAATAAACTTGAATTGAATTGAAGATCTCTGTCACTGTAGGGTGTCCTGAAGGGCACTTGACGGATTGAATGTAGAGAATCCTTAGTTCGGTAACCTGATTCTCAAAGTTCTTCCCAATGATTTTTCCTTTTTTATTGATTACTTTGTTCATCCTGTGGGCATGTCTGATGCTGCTCCTGCGAACTAGAGCACAGGAAATGTCACCTCCCACCAGACTGTTGGAAAAAAAGCGATCTGCAGAAAATAACCCTGTTCATCACTTTTTCATGAGTAACTGACTGAAACCTTACCCTGCAGGCAAAGATCGTACTAGACATGATGGTCACCATGTTCAGCGAGTATTGTCTGCAGCCTTTCACGTAAGTCTCCCACTGCAGTCGCTTGGAGTCCGTCTGTTTATTATGATTGAATGTCTAAAAGAAAATGAAATGTTTTTGTTTAGCAGTCATATTTATCTATTATTGGTCTCATTTAGCAGTCCAGCATTCTGGGTTTTACTAATATATCTGAGTTATTGTTGTATGAAAAGATGTTCATAACTGACTCCGTAAAACAGTAGCGGGCCCAAAACGGAGCCCAGGGGTTCTCCACAGATCTGTAGTCTCTGACACGATCTGGTTTCTGTTTGAAAGGAAAAGGGTAGAACCAGTCTAAAGCAGTTCTATAAGTCTGTGTAACTGTGATCAGCAGGGTCAAAGGTCACAAGTCTGACCAGACTAAAGCTGTACATGTCCTGGTTTCTTTTCTCTGCTGTCTGTCAGGGTGGAGGAGGCTGAGGTGGTGTGTCCAGATGGCAGGACCATCATCTATCCGGTACCTATCATGTTGTACCTCTATGTTCTTTAAAGGATTTGTTTTTCTAAACCTCCGCTACGGTTACTGGTCTGCTCCGTAGGAACTGGCTTACAGGAAGGAGAAGCTGTCTGCTGAGTTCATCAACAGAAAAGTTGGCATCAAGTGAGTTTTTTGATCCGCTGAACATCCCACACAGAAACCCAGCAACAGTTGTGAGTCTGGTCTGGGTCTGCTGGTATTCCTCCTTTGGGATTTTGGTTTATTCGTTTTGACAGTTTCTAAATAGGGTTGTCACGGTGTGAAAATGTAACCTCACGGTTATTGTGAACAAAATTACCACGGTTTTCGGTATTATCGCGGTATTTTTTAAAACGTGCTACATTTTCACACAATTAAATAAACCCTGTATGTCAGGAAATATTGTCCTCAGTTTGTGTCTAAATTTAGCCTAAAATGTGTTATTTTGTAATGATGTTGTTTATTTGTTTACATTTTTTCCCTTTAGACTTTAAAATACCAATATTTGCCCATAACTTCTTATTTTATGTCTGTTTGATGTCATCATTTAATAAATATTAGATCAGATGATACTCAGTACTCAAGTAGCCTTCTAATCAGATACTTTTTTACCCTTACTTGAGTAATAAACCCTATATCAGGAAAATATTGTCCTTTGTTTGTGTCCTTCCAGTGAGCTTTGCAGATGTGGGAAAATGTCATCAGGCAGTAATCATTGTTAAATTCATAATTATTCTCGGAGAGAGACCAACTCTTATCTGCCTCTGGGAGCCCCGTAATGCATAGCGTCATTTCAACATGGGGGTGTCCGCGACACGGTTTATATGCAGGTAGCGGCGCTGCGGCTGCTTTATAAAGCGACTCGTTGCTTTCTCCCTCAACCCAAATCCTCGGATCACGCATTTTAGCTAAAACGCTAACGTTAGCTTGCCTTGCGTTGACTGTAGAGTTGTGGGTGATGGTCACGCAGATGTGTCATGAGATCTGAAGCGTTGCTGCCTTTCACAGACACTTTTTCTGCACGTGCTGCAAATAGGATAGCCGTCTTCTATCAACTGTCCCTCGGCATTCTTCAAATATCCAAAAGATGCCCGTACTTCCCACTTTGTCTTCTTTGAGGGATAAAAAATGTCCTCCTGAGTGCTGCCGTCTCCTCCTTTGGCCATTATTTCAGCTTTAGCTTCAAGAAAGTTTTGGTTGTAAAGAACAAAGCGCGCATGTGCCGCCGGCAACTTCAGCAGATGATACGGTGGCTGGTAAGGGTCACTGCACCTACACCGGTTACCGTGACAACCCTATTTCTAAATAAACTTTGATGGTTCGACAAAGTGAAAGCTGACTTGAAGGTCGAATGTCTGTGAGCTGATTTCCTTTTTCAGTGAGTCGGCTGAGAGCATAGCTCAGCTGCTGACCAGGATGTGCCTTCTCTCACAAACTACCGGCGATGAGCTGGAGGTGGAGATCCCCCCCACCCGTCCAGATGTCATCCACGCCTGTGACATCATGGAGGATGCTGCCGTCGCCTACGGCTTCAACAACATCACACGGACGATTCCACGAACCTACACCGTAGCCAACCAGGTGCCTCACTTTGCTTCCACGTAAACCAGTTGCATTGTGGGAATCTAAACGGGTGTTGATGAATAAGACGTGTTTGCTTCCAGCTCCCACTTAATAAACTGACAGAGCTGCTGAGACAGGACCTGGCAGCCGCTGGATTCACCGAGGCCCTCAACTTTGCTCTGGTGACAATAACTACAAAAATCAACGCTGAGGTGTTTTTTATTGTTTAGACATGACAAGTATGTCCCTCCTCACGTCCTGTAGTGTTCTCAAGAGGATATAGCAGACAAACTTGGAAAGAGGATCTCTGAGACCGGGGCGGTTCATATTTCTAACCCAAAGACGGCAGATTTCCAGGTAAGACACGGCTGTGTAAACACCAAGAAACTAAATAAAATCAGTGCTTTACTACACCACCTCAGTAGAACTGTAAAACTAGAACTAATGCGTGTATATCGATGTCTCACAAAGAGACAAATAAATCCACATCTCTGCTGCTGGAAATGACAAACAGTAGAATTCGAATTTAATTTCCTGCACGTCCGATTCCTTCCTGTGGTCTTCATAGTTGAAATTCCTGCTGTCACAAACACTTCCTGGTCTGCATGGAGGGGTCATTCATCTGCACTAAACCTGGATGGATATGCTGTCATATTTGTTCTGCAGGGAAGCATCCAGGAGTTTAAACTCAGCTGCAAACACAAAAGCACTCACTGGAGTTATTTTAAATCATGCTCTAACGTATGCATACAGCTGATGGTAAAGTGCTGCACGTTTTCTGCACCTGTAAACATACTATGGGTCACTAATAAATTACAAATCAAGGCTGACAAGTCGTTGGAGAGTAAATGAAGTCCAAAGCTCCACTAGAGGGTGCTCTCCTCCTCTCTAAGGGCCTGCATGTGTTTCCAGCCTGACTGTGCTTTTTCTCCACCAGGTGGCGCGCACCACACTGCTGCCAGGCCTCCTGAAAACCATAGCTGCCAACAGGAAAATGCCTCTGCCTCTCAAACTGTTTGAGATATCAGACGTGGTTCTAAAGGACCAGAATAAAGGTGGGTTCTGTCTGTGGCGGTAGGAAAATTGTTATTTTAGAGGAATGTTGCACGGTATAGGATGCCGGTGTCTCAGGCCCTGTCCACACGTAGCCGGGGATCTGCCAAAACGTAGATATGTGTCTATGTTTTGGCCTGTCATCCACACAAAAATTGAGTTTTTTCACATGAAAATGGATCTTTTTAAAAACTCCGGCCAAAGTGAAGATCTGCGTTTTCTCCGTTTTGGGTGTCTGCGTGTGGACAGACAAAACCGGAGTTTTAAGGTCCGCAACGTCACTTTCCGCGACAAAAAAATGCTGACATCACGTGTGCGACCTGTGTTTACACTAGCCGACAGCATGGATGCCCTCAGAGCTGCGCTCGCTTTATCAATTGTCCAAGCGCTTTTTGCTTCTTTGTTTTTGCAAGCGGAATTACTGCTCCTTGCGGAAGACCACAGACGAAGGACGAGGTTAAAGAGCAAGTCACCCCCAAATAAACTTTTTTTGCTGATAAACTATATAAATGTGTGTCTAATCGTGCTGCAGACACGTGTCGTCAATAATTTGGCACTTCAGTGCATCTTAGTAAAAATTTAAATATTCAGCCTCAAACTGGCAGTGTTGTGCCGTTGTCAGGTAAAAACTCTGCACTGTATTTTAATTTAAATCTGCCACCGCTATTGGCTAAGAGGTATGCTATGATGTAAACTGGTACATTATGATGTCACAATGCTGTCGTGAGCCTGTGTGTGTGTGTATTTGTTAGCAGCTCCTCCTTCTCGGTCTGCCAGGCAACAGCATTTGTTGCATTTTTCAAACATGAAGTGGGAGTGCAGTTAGACTCTGGTAGGGGTTGACTTGCTCTTTAAGAACGGGGGAAGTACTGCCGCCTACAGGTCTGGCATGTCCTTAACAACGTATTTATCAGGGTACGTGTGGACAGAGTTTTTTTTTAAACGAGGTGGTGTGGATGCAAGTTTTTGGAGGGGCAGATATTCGTTTTTAAACAAACCCGGCTACGTGTGGACTAGGCCTTACTGACACAACAGTTAAGCTGGGTGCTAGCAGCTAGCTGGTTTTGTTGTAGGATCTATTAGCATCTTCATCAGCTTTAAACAGAAAATTAGATCAACTCCGGATCCAGCTCCTCTCTCGAGTTAGAAAGTATAAAAACAAATGACATAAAATAAAAATGAATCTGGACTCTATGTAAAATTAAAACAGAACTGAATAGCTAATGTGTAAATACCAGAGGTGGAAAGTAACAAATTACATTTACTCACGTTACTGTAATTGAGTAGGTTTTTTGTATATTTATACTTTTTAAGTCATTTTTAAAATCTGTACTTTTATTTTTACTTGAGTAAGTTTTTTTTAAACAATTGTAATTCGCTACATTTTAAATCATTTCCGTTACTGAGTACTAATAAATTATAGGCTTAATAAATTAAAAACATTACGAGTAGCAGCGTCGGAACAGAAAGAGACTCCTGCATGAGCACCGCGTCTAAACCGTGGGGGGTGTGGGTGTACACTTCTGCTCAAAAACATCAGTGCAGTCCCTGTGATCCACTCGCTGTTCACCTCCTCTCGTGGGTTGGAACCCGCACCTTCGCGCACCGGTGTGACGTCATCAGAATTCTGCTCGGTTCCGTAACCAGACTCGGTTCCGTGTTTGAAATGTGTTTCCCTACCGCTCCGCACGGCAGCGGCAAAATAACGTTTAGCGCTCATAACAAGTGGATTATCAGCGCTCTGCTCATAAAACAGAAGACCTGCAGGCCTCTGTGAGTTAAAACATCCTGATACTGTTCAGGTGTAAACATTGTGCTCCATCCCTGTGTTTGAACTCAGAAGATGCTTCTTGATGCCACAGATATGTGATGATTTAGCTTGTTGCTTTATTTTACTCCAGAATAAGAGATTAAATTATTACAAAAGCAGTTCAGTGTACTTAAATTAGTCATGACGTGTGTGTGTGTGTTACACATATAGGACTGCATGAGACAGCATGGTTTCATCAAATCCATGCATCTTATATCTTGGCTGCAGTAATGGCTCAGGAAAATAACTTATATTTATAAATAATGACGTCTCTGCAGTGTTTATGATAATATTTTATCTTATCTTTGGTCTGGGAGGTGTAACTTATCACGACACAAGCCTTTTAAAACATGTTAAAGTGTTACAAGAGGAGATAAATGCATGAATTTAAAGTTCATGTTTGGAGACCAACCTTCACAGATTGGAGGCTCACGCTGGTGGAGACACCGTTAGTTCTAGTAACACCTGGGCTCCCAAGGCCTGTTCTGACAGGATGGATGTTACGGGACCCTTAAGGATTCCAGTTGGACGATTGGAGGATTATTTAGGAGGATTGGAATGAACACACTGATTTCAGTGGTGAAGGGTTAAATGAGTGAGTGAACCCACTACCAAGGATGAACTCTGCTAACTTTAAAAATCAGCTGCTGTAAATAAGCATGAAGGTCTGAGAGGAGCTCTAGGATGGACATGGATAAAAGAACTGTAATGTAGAGGTAAAGTAGGGCAGGGCCAACGTTAGCAGCTGTCATATGGTCCATCTGAAATGTTTGACTTTCATTTAGCTTGTTATGTAACGGGTTAGAGCACAGACTCATGTTAGAGTTTTTCATGAGAACATTGAGATACCTCACATGCTGATGGGAGCTAAAAACTGTTATTTTTTCTCAAAATAAAGAATAATTTTAATCACAATTGAAACGTACAATCCTAGAAAAACCTCGTCCAATCATTGTGCACGTCCTGTTCTCACTGATTGGATAGAAATCCCTCCATCAAACTGTGTGTGTGTGTGTGCGTGTGTGCGCGTGTGTGTGTGTGTGTGTGTGCGTGTGTGCGTGTGTGTGTGCGCGTGTGCGTGTGTGTGTGTGTGTGAGTGAGTGCGCACACGAGCGAATTGTGAACTGGCATTGTGATTTAGCACTAGTTAGATGTAGCCATCCTTACGCTAACAAAAATGTAACTAAGTAACTTTTACTTTGAGTACATTTTGTTTACAATACTTTTTACTTTAACTTGAGTAAAAATTTAGGCAAGTACTTTTACTTGTACTTGAGTAAAAAATTATCAAAGTATTGGTACTCGTACTTAAGTAGGACATTTTAGTACTCTTTCCACCTCTGGTAAATACTAGAGTGAACCACTCACACCCAACCTCTCAGCTAGCTGAGTCTTAGTGTTTAAAAATGACCTTTGGAAAAGCCAGTGAATGCTAGGATGGCCTGCTGGATTATATAAGATAGCAGCTTTCCATACAGCAGCATGCTGCTGCTGAGCTTCAGACCTGTCTTCAGCCCGTTAGAACCAACCTGTCAGGTCTGTTGCTTGGTTTCCTGCTGCAGCTCCACTGGGAGCTGCTCAGAGCTGAGCTTTGGAGACATGAAACAGAAAGCCATTGGGGCAAATGCTTCTAATAAAAATCATGAACTCAAGATGTAGATGAATTTTCCACCGACAGCAAAAACAAGTGATTGTTTGAAGCTTTATTGCTGGACTGTTCACATGGCGACTCCTCTGCACAAACAGATCAGCTCAGTCTTTCAAACAAGTGCCTTTCAGTTATGACCAACAGCAGAGGGCGTGTCGTCCTACTAAAACTTAGAAAAGTTCTGTTGCTATTCCAACAGACTTTAATGTGATGTAGCACAGATTTATCCTCTGTCCATCTCTTTTCTCCTAACTGGACGACTTCCCTTCTTCTCCTCCCATCCAAAAGAGAATTCACGTTTTGTGTTCAAACACCTACGTTGCTTTTCTTCCTCTGGTTGTTTCACTGCTCAGCACTTGTGCAGCTTTGCTTCTTCTATCTCAGAAGCTACTTCTAGACTTTTGTTAAGCATAGAAGATGAACGGAACTGCTGAACATGAGCATTATCTTAGTTGTAGCTGAAGATCATTTTATCACGCCAGTAGGTCCCTGCTGTTGACGTCCCTCTCTCTCCACCTCCCAGATGTCGGGGCGAGGAACAGTCGGCGTTTCTCTGCCGTCTACTACAACAAAACCCCCGGCTTTGAGGTGATTCACGGCCTGCTGGACCGAACCATGCAGCTGCTGGAGGTGAAGGCAGTCCGTGGTGGAGGATACCACATCCAGGCTGCAGACGGTAAGAATTCAGGGAGAAAGGGGGTAGAAATCTAAAAACTGGATTTACTCAGAAGAAAATCCTAGCAACTTATTTCCTGATATCTTACAAGCTGGCGATCAACAATCTGGGTCATCGGAGGTTAAGCGGCTGGCTTTGGCGAGATTATGTAAATCCATCCTCTAAATGTGTTAGCAGAGCATCGTGGATCCTACTGATCCACTTCTATTTGTTGTTTCTAAAATGATGACCTCAGTGTAGATCAACAATCGGTGGTAAAACCAAATGATTAGTTGTAGATGGACTAAAGATTAAGTTTAAAATCGGATAAAAATATGAAAGTTAATAAAGAGTCCTAACTAAAAGTAGTAACAAACCTCAGTGATGTATACAATAACCTACTTCAGATCTGTTCGAGTCCTTTAAAAAGCATCCTTAATAAAATAAACAGAGCTGGCATCCATGGGAGAGGGCTGAGGCTCAAAGCTCTGCTGACCCAGAATAAGACATGTTCCCTAATCTCTCCAAAGAAACATTGTCCGGGGGTGTTTCACAATGTCAAGGCGCCTTGAATACAAGGACGCCGTCCGTCCTTGGTCAAAGAGAACGGTTAAATGAAACAGATGCACCTCATGAGACACATGAGGTAAAGTAATATTTTATACGTGTACGTTTCATTATAAATGTATTACTTTTATAATTGTCTATATATTGGTTAAATTAAATGTGAGCGAGTTACTACCTGCTAGCCACCAAAGCTGCACCTACGTAGCAACTAACCAACCATAGGTAACTGCTTTGGATCTTAAAACAATATTTATGCATCAGTCCAATCGCTACAATTAGTTGACGTACATTTAAACTAGAAATTAGCCCCTGAAGTAGCTGCGGACTCATGATCTGCCATCCTTTTGAAAATTCAACGCTGTTCTCTGGGAAATGTTGGACAGAGAGAAGGCAATAAGACACCTCTCATGTATCTTCAGACAGCTAGCTAAACGGCTAACAATCGGAGGACAGACACAGTAGCACGCGAACGTTGGAGCACACCAGTGGCGGCTGGTGAAAAATATTTTTGGTGGGGCTGTGCTATTTTTTATTTTTAAACAAACTTGTGCTTTCTGAGCTTTGTGCACAACTTCACTATTTCCTGAATTAAGCACAGCTCTTTTATTTCCTCATCTTAGGTGTGTTCTTGCTGTGTCTTTGTAAATCCATGCTTTCGTTCTTTTTTAAACACAGAAACAGTTTTGTTTACCTGTTTGTAGCTACGGTTTCGCCGACAGCTGCCGGCTTCTTCAGGCTGACGCTGATGGTGGCGCGTCACTTCGCGTCACTTACACGCTGGACCACGCATGGGACTGCATCGTCGGAGAGGGGAGAGCGGGCAGTAGAGGGCGACAACGTCCTCTGCTGCCCGCAGATAAACGGAGAAGGAAGTGACGCGCCACCATCAGCGTCAGCCTGAAGAAGCCGGCAGCTGTCGGCGAAACCGTAGCTACAAACAGGTAAACAAAACTGTTTCTGTGTTTAAAAAAGAACGAAAGCATGGGTCTTTTATTTCCTGTCTTACATTATTGGACAAATTGATTAATCCAGGTGTGTCTGACTATTGTCAAACTGCCTTGCGGACCAAGGTTGAAAAATACTGCATTAAATTGCGCATAAAATAACATGACCATAAATGGTAAATAGGCAATGCAAGAGGCAAGTAACAAAAACATTTTGTTTAATTTCAACATTTGAGTGAACACGAAAAATTATGAGCAGGTCACTGTTACAGTAATGGTAGTAAACACTACTTAGACAAAATGCCAGAAATTTACACTGTCAGGACTTATGGAAAGTGGAAACACTTTCATAGGAAATAATGTCATCAGTATCCTCTTACAAATGTCATATTTCCCAGTTTTTGGGACAAATCAGAAAAGTTTTATTGTCCCAAAAGCTGGGAAATTTGTTTGCTGCAGCAGAAGTGTAACAAGTAAAATGGAATCAGATTGATGTAGGTACAAATTTACTTGAAATACACATTTACATGATTAAATATGTATAATAGGTATGTGTGTTGAAATTAGTTTTTACAGTTATTGCACATTAAACATGTTATTAAACAAATGTCCCGGTTTGTGGGACAACCAAGGATTTCTGATTCTGATTGTCTTGTTACAGAAATGTAATGTACAGCTTACCTCTGCACCCAGCTGCTGTTCTCCCTGTCCAAACGTCCTCCGTTTCTTTGTTGGCTGCTGCACTGATGCGCTGCATTCCTCAGTCAGAGAATGAATGGAGTCCCCAATGAGACACAAGTTCCACATCCACCTTCTGTGGATCCCAGCCGTTTTGAATAACAAACACAGAAAGCAAAATAACGCATTAGCGTGATTGCATCCAGCTAGCCACTGCTTCCTGGTGTACCAATTTTGGGAGAAGCGTCGTGTGTACAGTTTACCTCTCTCCTTGTCCTGCTGGCTTATCTTTACGTCGGGCTGATCTGGTCCAAGCTCTTTGACATTAAGTTTTTCCACCATAGTTCTCCTCTCAAACGGATACTGGAGAAGAGACCGAACTGAATTCAGTGGCTGCTGAGATCCGGTATCCTGGTTGTAGGCTCACTGGCGTCCATGTCTGCGTCTGCTCCATGTGCGTCACGAGTCACGACCAAAAACGTGCTGGAGTCGAGACTCTCCGAGTTCTACCGAACACCAACGAAAGCCTTGGCGGTAGCTCTATCGCCCATCATGCTTCTGAAACGTTCTGAAACAACGTCGACGCTGATTGGATACATTCCCATTCCTACCCTTTGATTTTTCTTGTCAGCAATTGGACAGCTGGTCTCGTCCAGTTTGGGCGATTGAAAAACAGCACACAGCCTCCACCGCTCGGCAGAGACCGGCAGAGACAGGCAGAGACCAATATATATATATATATATATATATATATATATATATATATATATATATATATATATATATATATATATATATATGATTTATTTTTGTTACAAAACACACAATTACCTTAGAATATGTGATTATTGTTAATTTTTTTTTTTTTTTTTAAATAAAAATTAAAAACAGTGGGGAAACTGGGAGGGTGGCACCCTATCGCCCTCTACTGGCCAGCCGCCACTGGAGCACACCTTGGTGTTTCCTGATGACGTATCTCCTAGGCAACCGGGGCGGGACCAAGGCATCAAGGCAAGGTTCCTTGACATTGAGAAACACTGTGGGGCTCCTGGGTAAAATTCTATTGGTGGACTTGACAAAAGCAGAATGTTCTCAAAACTGTGTATTCTCTTCCATCTGGAGTCAAACTAACACTAAAACATCACCATAGCGACAGTCAGACATGGTGGTGGTAGTGTGATGGTCTGTGGCTGCTTCAGGACCTGGACCACCTGCTGTAAGTGATGGGACCGTGAATGCTGCTCTCCAGCAAAACACCCTGAAGGACAACATCTGACTTTTGATCTTAAAGTCACACTCGATGAGTTTCTCTCTCCTAGTGGTTGAAAGAGGAATTACAACGGTCATAAATGACCCTGTTGCATCCTGATGTAGCTAGTACTAACAATGAGCTAATGCTATCACAAGCCAGCTGATACTAAAATAAACCACAAAGTACAAAGATCCACACTGTTGGACAAAAAGTATTTCTTTAGCTCCCTCAAACTGGTGTAGGCTGCGCCGATGTCCACTCTGCTCTGTTGTTTGCATCCAAAGACAATACTTTTACTTCCAGGCTCCACCATGATGTCCAGATATAAACAAATCAAAATTCTTGCTTTTCTTGTACTTTTTGGTGGTTGGTGAATTGTAAAAGTTAACTGCTAGCCTTTATTAGCTTTATTAGCTCCTGTCACAGTAAACCGCTATTGCTGTAAAGCAGGTAGAGAGCTCCTACTAGTGTACCTACCCAAAGCTTAGCTAAACTGTTAACTGTCGTTTCTGGTCGTCAGAGGGACGAAGTTTCTGGCTCAAGAACAACTGAAACAAGTCTGAAACCAGAAAGTTGTTCCAGGGCATTCATGCTGGAAAACACTCCAGTGTGGCTGAACGCATATATTGCTGCCTCAGGATTTTTCTTTCGGTACATGCCTCACGATACGATCATATCACATATGAATAAGATAAATTGCACTAATTTGCCAATAAGATATATAAATATATACTTTTTTTGCCCTTAAATGACGTCATACAGCCAGTTAAAATCAACTGCTTCTAAATGTCTAACAGTGACACTCAGTGCAAAGTCTATGTAAAAGCAAATGTCTTACAAGTGCTTTAGTTACACTCTTATAGCAAAGTCCATGTATACAATCGTTGAAGTGCCTTACAATGACATAGTTTTAGTGCAACTTCCGCCCGGCTTCTGTCAACAGACAACGTGTTTTTGTTTGCAGAAGCCGGGCGGCTCTTGCGTTTTCCACCGCTGAGTTATATTCATGCGCCATGCAGCGGCGGGTTACTGCAGTGCTTTGTTGTAATATAGTCCCAAGTCTAAATCGGCTCCTGCAAATCCTTCTTGTTACCTCTTACTTTCATTTGCAGTCGACATGATCATTGAGCTCAACGAGAATAATTGGTGTCATTATTGAGTCTTTTGCAACCAGAATGCTACTAGTTCCCATTCACTTCCATTGTTTATGCTAGGCAAAGGCAGACGGACGGCTGCCAGAACAGGAGGATTACTGCGCTGGTCACAAAATGCTTTTTCGCCCTAATCTAACTCTGGGAAATGTGGTCATAGACAAAAGTTCACTTTGAGGTGGAGTTAGGGCTGGGCGATATGACGATTTTAGACCGTTTTACGATCTACACATCTGACGGTCTGTCATTTTTGAGAGACCTTTTTATCACGATTCACAGCTCTGCTGTTGAATTTCTGCCTCTGAATGAAAAGGGAACTTACCCCAGTCGAATGACACGCCTTTGTTTGACCCTTAACCAATCAAAGTGAGTCATAGTAATATATTAGTGCCCCGCTTGTTTTCACCTGTGTGTGAACTGTGAACAATCATGGCTTCGGCTGCGGCTGGGAGCGACAACGAGGTTTTCATTCCGAAGACCGAGCACCGATTCACGTCATTTCAAACGGTGCCTCGTTTCGGTAGCCGTCCTTCATAACGAGAACTTGCCAAGAAAGCTGTGCATACGCAAGAGCATTATGTCGTCGGTCCCTGCGAGCGAGTTGTAAACAGAGCAGCATGGTAGAAAGAAGAACGCACGCTAACGCTTGGGTCCACTTCACTAAATGTGATGGGTAACTGGGTGATGAAACCAGCGACAGACAACGATCTAAGTGAGAAATCCTCATCTTAATCTGCTCCGGTAGATAAATAAATGTTTAAGATAACGTTACCTTGATATGTTAGCGTTCGCTTTCTCCTCGGAACTCCGAATTTCCGACTAGATGAACATGAACGCGCTCTAGAGTTTGGCTTCACTTTACTAAATGCGACGGGTGATTGGGTGAAGATGAAACCAGCGACAACGATCGAAGTGTGAGGCATCATCGTTTTAATCTGCTCCAGCAGTTAAATAAACTGTTTAAGATAACGTTAGCTTGATATGTTAGCTTCCATTGCCACCGTTGTTATCAGCTAATGGTGCGTTCGCTTTCTCCTCGGAAATTCTAACTTCCCAGTAGGAAAAATCACATGAACAAAGACGGCCAAAGGAATGAAGATACACAGTAAATTTAGTTCACAGTAAAGATGTTTGCTTCAGTTTAATTATCAGCTTATAAAACTACAAGGACGATGTTAAAATACAAACAGTTGAATGTTATTTATCGTGATATTTATCAAATATTGTTATATATTGAGAAAAATATATATTTAATTATAAAAGAGAATTAAAATATGAAACACTCAAAAGTATCGAAAATTGGTACCGTTAAGTACCGGTATCGATTCATAGGTACCGGGAATTAGTACCGAATCGATTCAAATGTCAAAGGTACCCATCCCTATCCATTATATGGAACTGGTTTGGTTTTTCACCAGATGACAAAGAGCAGCGAAACGTCATTTGCAAAGTTTGCAAGGAGAGCGTCAAGGCAAGTGATGACAATACCACAAACTTGTTTAATCACTTGAAAAGAAGGCATCCCAAACAATACAATGAGAGCCAGCTGGCAGCTAAAGCTAAAAAGCCTGCGGCTGCAGCGGCTAGTGCTTCTTCCAGGCAGCAAACGCTAACAGAAACACTCTCAAAACTCACTCCTTACGACAGAGACAGCAGACGATGGAACAGCGTGACAGATGCAGTGACGTACCACTTGGTTAAAGATTTGTGTCCCGTGCGAACAGTAGGAGCGGGATTTAAGAAAATGATAAAAACATTGGATCCGCGCTACAAGTTTTCCAGCCGCAAGTATTTTTCGAACACCGCCATTCCACTCATGTACGCTGAATGCAAAGTGAGCGCTGCAGAAAATATTCAGAATGCGCAGTTTTTTGCTACCACAAGCGATCTCTGGTCCAGCCGCACATCAGAGCCGTATTTGAGCTTAACTATCCACTACATGAGCAACTGGGAGCTGCATAGTATTTTGAACAAGTTAATGTTTGCACAATACGTTTGCAATTGACATGTTTGCACTTTATGTTTACGATTTTAATTTATGTTAAGTTACTTGAAAAATGAGAAAAACTGATTTTTGTAATTGTTTCTCTCAGGGCTTTTATCATCTCTGGTGTGAGTTTAAAATATAAGTGTGTTAGCACTGTGTTGATTATCCCTAATATGAATAAATGTTTGTTTATTCAATGTTTCTCTTCTTTAATACGCAATTGAAGTTATGCTATTCATGGATAAAAATTCGTGATAAAATCGAAATCGTGATCAAATATTGGAAAAATCGTGATATTCTATTTTTGCCATATCGCCCAGCCCTAGGTGGAGTATCCCTTTGAAGGTCAGCTTGGTCTTATGTTTGACTTCCCAGGTTATGATCTTGGTGCTTGTTTGCCCCAAGAGGCGCTCTCTCTCTCTTTCTTTTCTTTCTTGTATGAATGAAAAATCTAATTTTGCAGCTTCACCTCCTCTCCATCGCTCCACCCAACTCTTAATTCTTCTCTTGCACGAGTCTAGGGTCCCAAGGTTAGAAGTCTTCTGTTGCTCATACAGCCGAGTCAGACAACAAATCAATGTTCTGGAGCACGTGTCAGACACGTGGCCCGCGAGATAAATATCAAAAATATATTAAAACTGACCTGCTGGCTGATTTTACCACAAATACTACAACTCCCATGATGCTTTGCGGCATCAGCGCGGAGCCGACACGCCCCCTCCTTTGTGTTTTTTCCAGCATCCGCTGCCGGTGTCTTCAGCTCCGCTGTCTCGGACAAACTACACTCCTCTCACTCAGCGCCGAGTTCACTCAGCTGTTTTCTGACGTTAAAGCCCAGAAACGGAGATTTTAACCGCTCAGTAATGTGTTCATGACTGAAAGATAAAGTTTTCCAACTAACTTCCAGACAGAGCTGATATAACTCCAGCGAGCAGCGACACGCTCAAACCAGCACGACTCTGTGACTGCTGTCGTGTTTCCTCCCCGACACACAACAACGTGGTCAAGCTGCTCAGACATGTTCATCAGCACAAACCTATGTGAGCACCTGTTGTCATCTAATGTTGTCATTATTATGATGAAGATGAACAAAACAACAGGAGTCTCCTCCTCAGCTCAGATCAACCCCATGATGCAGGTATCTGGCTGGAACAGGTGAGCATCACAGTAAACCAGTGGAGCAAACTGAGCTTTAAATATGTTGGTTTTATGCTCTTTTTCTGCTCCAAAACATGAAAGTTAACAGGTGAGATGTTGCATTTTATCATTTAAGATAAAATGATATTTTTATTTTGTTGTTGGCCCGTGAGAAAAGATTTAACCTACAGTAAACAGGAAGTGGAAAGGCTGCAGATGGATGAATAGAATAGAAAATCCCTTTATTGTTCCTCAGTGGGGAAAGCTAGACGTCACAGCAGCGATGACACGTATTACAGGAGAAAAAAGGAGAATAAAAAATAAGAAAAATGAATAAACAAGAAAACATAAATCCTGAATAGATTTTTAAAATGCTGATTATACCACAAGTAATGAATACCACTGATGCATTTTATTTAAAAATGACTTGCTCGTGTGTAATTTGGTTATTCCACATTCAGTGTTAATGCAGAAATAAGTTTGTTTCCAAATTAAAAGGTTCTAAATTGCATTTATGTTGATAAAGAAAATATTTGCTGTCACTTTTTCAAAAAATATTAAATTTGGCCCGCGACTTTGTCCCAGAGTTTCATTTCGGCCCCGTGTCAATTTGAGTTTGACACCCCTGCTCTGGAGTATGGATGAAGGAGAGATTAGAGGAAAAGCTGAAGGCAGACGGGGAGGAGATGAGGCTGAAAGAAAAACAACAGAAGGTGTGCACCATGACAAAGACATGGTGTGAGCTGGAGAGAGTAAAGTCTGCAGTGTGAGGGAGAACCTGTGAGTCCCCACTGTGTTGATCTCACACACCCCAGAGCTGAAGTGACATCACTGTTTATGAGAGCGTTTCCTGATTTCTCCACACTCTGCACCATTGGGCTAGCACCACATATGTCAGCGTGTCCTTAACCCCATTACAGGGCCACGACCCCGTCTAAGGGCTCACCTGACACAGTCCTTCCTGAGGATGTGTCCATCAGCACTTCAGCTACCTCACCATCACTCAGGGGGAAACCGTGTCTGCTGAGCTTCCGCCTGTCAGCATGGAGAAGAGACGACATGAGTCAGGGGAGCAGAAGTACAGCCAAAACGGACAGATGACTGTGTTTCACTTAACAACCGTGTCCAATGGAAGGTCCCGGTCCATTCAGTAGGGTAGCGTAGCGTCCATGATCATGTGACTTTTAGCTCTTGCTCCCCTTGAGATTAATTATTGACCCTTTAATGGATGTTCTGTTGAGTCTTTTTAGATATTTTGAAGTAGTTAATAAATAATCTGAAAATAAAAACGTCCACCCCGACGACTGTCAACAGCTGAGGTGTTTTAAATCGTCATCGTCGTCTTCCTCCGCTTATCCCAGTCCGGGTCGCGGGGGGGCAGCATCCCAACTAGGGAGCTCCAAACCGTCCTCTCCCCGGCCACCTCCTCCAGCAGGACCCCAAGGCGTTCACGGACCAGATTGGAGATGTAACCTCTCCAACGTGTCCTGGGTCGACCCGGGGGGCCTCCTGCCGGCAGGAAATGCCCGAAACACCTACCCAGGGAGGCGTCCAGGAGGCATCCTGACCAGATACCCAAACCACCTCAACTGACTCCTTTCGATCCGGAGGAGCAGCGGTTCTACTGTGAGTCACTCCCGAATGTCCGAGCTCCTCACCCTATCTCTAAGGCTGAGCCCGGCCACCCTATGGAGGAAACTCATTTTGGCCGCTTGTATCCGCGATCTCATTCTTTCGGTCATTACCCAAAGCTCATGACCATAGATGAGGATTGGGACGTAGATCAACCGGTAAATCGAGAGCCTGGCTTTCTGGCTCAGCTCCCTCTTCACCACGACAGATCGGCTCAGCGTCTGCATCACTGCAAACGCCAAACCAATCCGCCTGTCGATCTCCCGATCCCTCCTACCCTCACTCGTGAACAAGACCCCAAGATACTTAAACTCCTCCACTTGAGGTAGGACCTCTCCCCCGACCCGGAGTTGGCAAAC